GTACTCGAACCATGGTCGACCATATGGGAGTATACAGCACCTTAGCCACCATGCCACCTGCTGGTCATATAAGTGTTCTATCTTCTTAGTGAACAAGTCCTTTTAATACTGCATAGTGTCCTTCTCTGTGTCTTCTTACAGCTTTTGTATTGGAGTCTATTTTGTCTTATATTAGTATTGTGACTCCAGCCTTTTTTTGGTTTTCACTTGCCTGGAATATCTTTTTCCAGCCCTTCACCTTCGCTTTCTGTCTATTTATGTTTATTGTAAGTGTCATATAGAGAGCTCCTGAATTTTTTCCATTCAGCTATGTCTTTTAATTGAATAATTTAATCTATTAACATTCAACATTATTATAGTTTCAGATTTACCACCTGCCATTTAAAAAGAATTGATTGTTTTTATCCAATCATTATACATCATTTAGCTTATACAGAGAATCTACCCAACATGAAATACACCTCAGATCAGTCCAGTTAAATACTATACAATTCATCAACAGGTAATAAAATATTCGTGTCCCACAAATGTCTTAGCTCTCCGTTTTTTTCTCCCTAATTACCTTTCCTACACTCTTCCCCTCTCCCACCCTCCTTCCACAGTCTCCAGTGTCCATAACTATTTCCAGTGCTTTCATGTTCTCCAATCTTTCCGTCTCTGTCATAGAATGTGGAAAGTTGGTATATGTTAAGTAGAGACATACTATGTCTCTTTCCCAGCCGGACTCGCTTCAATCAGCAACAAATCATCCCTACTTGTCCACTTTCTATCAAATGCTGCCAGGGTCTCATTTTTTAAACTGAACGATATTCCATGGACTATATGTACTACACTTTTTCAATCCACTCATTTGTTCATGGACATTTGGGTTGGTTCCATGTCTTAGCAATCATGAATAATGCTCCAGTAAATATACATGTGCAAGTGCTTTTCCAACTGAGCGTTCTCCTGTCCTTTGGGTAGATACCCAGGAGTGGAATTGCTGAATCATATACTAGTTCTATTTGTTGGTCTTTGAGGAGCTTCCATATTGTTCTCCACAGTGGCTGGACCAATTTACATTCCCACCATCAGTGTAGGAGAGTTCCCCTTTTACCACATCCCTGCCAGCACTTCCCCTTTCCCCCCCCTGCCCGCCCTTTCCATTTTTTTTTTTTTTTTAACTCTTCACCATTCTGACTGGAGTTAGGTGTGTGTGTGTGTTTTAAGAGTTATTAATTCATTATTAATTCAGTTAATTCATTATTGATTCATTTAATTCATTAATTTATATTAATTTTCCAAGGGAGGGAGGCAGTGAGAAAACAAGCCACCAGGTATGGGACTTGAACTGTGGTCTGCCATGTGGGAGTGTCCAGTGCCTTAATTACCACGCCATGTGCTCATCCCCTCATTGTGGTTTTGATATGCATTTCCCTTATAATAGCTGTTGAACATTTTTTCATATGCTTTTTGATTATTCCTGTGTCTTCCTTAGAGAATTGTTTATTCAGCTTCTTTTCTCATCTTTTAATTGGGTTAATCTTTTTCTTTGGATGAGCTGCTTGAATGTTCTGTGTATTCTGGTCATCAGTCCCTCATCTAAGGCATAGTTTACAAAAATCTTCTCTCATTCCAAGCGTTATCAATTTACATTAATTACTGTGTCTCTTGCCATGTAGAAATTTCTTAATCTAATGTAATCCCTATTATTTATTTTGGGGATTGTCTGTGCTTTGGGGATCTTTTACCAAGTTTTTGCCTACCCTGATGTCTCTAAGAGTTTCCCCCTGCCAATATTTTAGCCATTTTCTTGGTTGATCTGTTTGTCTTTCTTCAGTTTTACTATTATATTGGGCTGTCAGAAAAGTCATGATATATTTTTTCTATGCAAAAATGTGTCATGACTTCTCTGACAACCCGGTAGTGCTTCATTTACTTCTTAAGGAGCTGGTCTATAATTTGTGAATTCTTTAAGTTTTTGTTTTCTGAGGATGATTTTATTTTTTCATATCATTTGAAGGATAATGTTGCCAGGTATGGTATTTTTTCACTGAAATTGTTTTTTAGTATTTTGAATATATTTTCCCACTCCTTCCTTTCCCACATTGTTAGAATTGAGGGCTGATGTTAGCCTGATAGGATAATCTCTGTAAGTAACTCGACATTTCTCTTGCCATTTTTAGAATCTTGTCTCTATCTTTGATTTTTTCCAACCTGGCTATGATTTGCTGGAGGAGGAATTTTTTTTTTTTTAATGCTGATTCTATTTGGAATTTTTTTTATTTCTTAGGTCTGAATTTCTCCATTTCTTTTTTTCTCAACATTTGTAAAGTTTTCAGATAGTATTTCATGGAAGATATTTTCCACATCCTACCAGCTCACCTTCTGGAATACCCATTATTATGGATATTTGGGTGTATAATGGTGTTTAGAATTTCCAATATGTTCTTGTTTTTTGAAAAAAAATATTTTGATGGCTTGGTCTATACTGGAGACTTTAGCTTCAAGGTCAGAAATTCTTTCTTCTGTATGGTCAAATCTATTTATGTTTTTGAGAGAAATTTTAATTTCTTATATTCTTCATTTTCCAGAAATTCTGTTTTATTTTTGAGGGTGCCTGTTTATGGAAATCCTCTTTCATGTCCCAAAATGATTTTCTCCTTCTCTGGATATGACTGTTCCCTCTTAACTCATTGAGTTTCATCACAATAAATATTCAAAATTTTTTTCCTGACATTTCTGTCTATTCTTTTATGTTGTCCATTATTGGTGAGGGTTTTTTTTTGTTCCCTTCAGGGAGTTATTTCCTTGTTTTCTAATGTTTCTTCTGTCTCTGTACTGATTTTTTTGTCATGTGATGATGTGATCACATCTTCCTATTTATTGGAATAGATTCTGTAGTGGCAAATGAGGGACTATCACCCCTAGATCCCTGGTGTGTTCCTGTTAGGGCTGTGTCTTCCAGATCAGAGCAGATAAAGTTTATATAGGGCTCAAGTTGCCTGCTATACTACAGCGTGCAGACTAGAGGAGCCCAAGTCCAAAAGCAAACCTGAAGGGTTGGGCTGCATCAAAGTGGAGAGGTTCACTCAGACAGGAAACCAGGTCTCCCAGAAAGCAGGTGAGTCTCATGAAGCAGATGGCATAGCTTGGCTAGAGGGCCCCAACTCCCCAAGGCAAGCCTAAAGGGTTGGGCTGCATGAATGAGGAAAGATGTGCTCAGACTGAAACCGAAGTCTCCCAGCAGGCAGGCTGGCTTCTAAGTGTTATATCTGATAAAAATTATGAGTTAAAAAAATCAAAAATGGAAGAAGATCTGTATATTATTTCAAAGTATTTTTAAAAATATCTATTGTTTGGGTTATTGTTGCTGTAAGAAATCGGCAATCTAATTATCATTGGTCACGAAATTGTCCTTTTCTCTTTTTACTTTCTAACAAAATCTAATTTCATTACTGTTGTTCCACAGTCTCACTAGTGTGTCTAGGCAAATATTTTCACCTTTATTAAGATTCAGGGCGGGGATGGGAGTGGCAGGTGGTGTGGTAACTGCCGAGTAGCCGACCATGGTTTGAGTTGTGGACTTGGTAGCTTACTTCCTCCCTCTCTCTCTCCCTGTCTCTGATTAATTTATTTTATCTTATTTTAACTTAATTTAAATAAAGTTAAATTCTTTAAAAAAAATGAATCTGAGAATCGGGGTAAAATGTCTAATCTAGTTTCCATTTAAGTGCTTTCACTCATTCTCTATTCTTGCTTTTTTAATCCAATTATTAGATGAGTATTTAGGGTTTCTTTTGTTCCAATTCTAAAAATTTTTTTTGCCCTTTAACGAATCATAATTTACATGACATAAATTCACTTGTTTAAAGTGTACAATTCAATGGTTTTTAGTATAATCATAGAGTTGTATAAATACAGCCTAGAATAATTTACACAAAAATTCCCATTTATAGTTTCCTTTTAAATAATGAATAATTTTTCTCTAACTGATTCCAAAATTTTCGCTATATCATTGGTTACTGACATTTTAACTGTGTTGTTGCCTGGATGTAGACCTCATATAATTTATCCTTCTTGGAGTTCATTTAACTTCTTACATGAGTATATTGAGATTTTTAAATTGAATTTGGAGATTTCTAAGCCATTATTCAAATATTTTCCACCCCTATTGCCTCCCTGATAGTTCAATTTTGTGTTTGTCGGTATACTTAATGGTATACCATTATTTCCCTGATGCTCTTTATTCTTTTGTCTCTATTCCTTTACTTTTTCTTGCTGATCTTCAGATTGCTTAATCTCTATCAAACTATCTTCAAGTCGTAACATCTGTCTTTTGTAGCTCAAATTTACCATTGAGTTTCTCTGGTAAAATGCCTTTTTCAGTTAATTTACATGGAAACTCTGGAATTTCTATATTTTTTTAAAACATTCTCTTATTGACACACTCTATTTGATCAGGCATTATTATAAAACCTTCCTCTAATTCCTTCTACAGGGTACCCATTTTTTGAAGCATTTATAAATATGTATAGATGTCTTAATTTTTGTTGAAAATTAGATATTTTGGGCTATTTAACGTGGTCCTTCTAAACACTGAGTTCACATTGTTGTTATTGCTTGCTTGATCAATAGTTTGGAGACGTGGCTAAGCTAACTCTGTCAAGTCCATTGCCCCTGCAGGTGGCAGCCCTTGATGTCTTGGATCAAATTTTTCCTTTATTTATGTGTGTATATGTGTATTTCTGGCTACCTAGAGATTTCTCTTCATAAATATAAGGCACTTGCTGGTCAAAGGTTGTACTTAGGTCCCCTTAGGTGGAAAGACTTACCCTGTACTTTGGGATGAGTATGTGGCTTTGAAACTACTTTCATAGCCCAGAGTTTATATTCTGCCAAGGACATGAAACTTGATGTTTCCCTTTTCAGTTATTTCTGAGAGTATTTGTATCAGACATACACATAGTTTTCTAGACTGTGAGGGATATTTATTCTTTCATTAATATTTTAAAGCCTGGCTTTGTGTTTCTCCCATGTTGGAATAACTTATTTTTTAGTCCATGTTTGGTCAGAGGTACATTTCAAAGTTTTCCACAAGTGGAACTTGTTCCATGAGCTGATAGGTCTTTAGATGGCATTGGGGAATATTTTCAAGTCCACTGTATGTCACTCTGCTGCTCTTGTGGGTCCACACTAATAAACACACATACACAGGTTTTTTTGAACTTCATGTTGAATGTGATCTCAGAAGGGTTCTTCTTGGTTGACTCTTTCTCTGGTTCTGTTAAACATCTGGCCATTCTACCCATTTTCTATGGAGAGTTGAGATGCCATTACATTAGAGTAAGGGGTGAGAATGGCAGCCTATTTTTCTCCCAGGTGACACCTCTGATCTATGAGTAGTTGCTAGAGGAGTGTCAGGGGCAGCCCCAGATTTTCTCAGCCTTCTTCTCCATGTATAGAACATCTGCCCTACAAGTGAGCAGGTATGGTGTAATTAGGGTACTGTACTCTCAACCCATCATACCTGAAAAAGATCTGACTTATGAGTAGGGGGTCATATGAAAGAAAAGGACAATATTCTTGGCTGAGCCTGCCTGGAATAGATCCGTGACCCATGGCTAGGAGACATGAGAAAGGTAAATAGACTGATCCTCAAAATATACTCATGAACTAGGAACTGGAGAAAGAGGGAGTCCTGTCTCCGTGGGTTCTCTGCCCCAAGGTAGGGTTGTCATAAGACAGATTTGCAGAGTGGAAGCATAGGATTATGAGTCAAATACCTCAGAGTTATTCTGCGCTTGTATCCCTATTTGGTGTACACTCATAGGGTAGTTTCTAGGTCATTTAAATGATCGCATAAAAATAATTTTGATTAAATATTTGAACAGAGATAGTATTCACTATGCTGCTGATTTTTACCATTCCTACAGTCTCAATTCCAGACTTGCTCATATCACTTAATTACCTTCTTTTAGAGTTTTCATCTCCTTGTGTCTCTGCCTTAATAATTCCTTCAAATTTATATTCCAAATCACACATTTTTTCTTGAGGTGAGTTTAGTCTGGTATTTTTTTTAATAGCATAATTTATAGGCTTTATAAATTAAAAATTTTTTGATCTTTTAAAATATAAACATGTATGTTCTGATGTGTCTGATAATTTCAATTTTCATATTCCTAGGATAGTGTCATTTCATTGTATGTATTCTTTCTTTACATACAATAAACTCATCATACATACACATACACATACAGGGTTCTGAGAGATCATAACAAATAGCATCCCTCTTGAGTTATAAAAACTAATGCATTGTTGAGCAACTAAAATAGCATACTATTACTTACAAAGCTCAAGGTCTGTTAGCCAAGTGATTTTGCCAATGCTGAAGCTTAGCATTAAGCAGACTTACCATGTCACATTCATCACGGGACCAGGGACTGACTTCCATTGAAGAGGTAGGCCTCTCTGCAACGTCTTCATAGGAAAATCCTTGTTCTTTAAGGACTGTCTCATTCCTAGAGGACGGAGTCAGTGAGAAATGAGTAAAGAATAGGTGAGAACCTTGATTGTTAGAGCCAGTGGATCACTGCATATGTATGGAAACATCCCATGTAAATAAGTACTGCTTCATACATATCAAAAATTAGAGTGTTGTCTAACAATATATTTGAAAACTCATCAAATTCTTCTAACCCCAGGTGTGAAAATACATACATTATTTGTTTATAAATAGGTAACAAGTTGTATTTTCTTTCAGCTAGAAATCATGTTTTAAATGTAAAATTATAACTCTGTAACTATATTGATCTAAGAATTCTGTAATTGGAAAAAATAGCCATTCTACAAATTCAGTTCTTATAGACTGACATGACATGAACCTAACATAGTTTCAGCAAGTGTTTCTGAAACAGCATATTAATCTCCATTTGGAGGTCAAAAGGTACATAAACTCTTTCAAAAAGTTAAACTGCCAACTTCAAATACAGGGAGTTGTTTGTTTGAAGAGAGATTTTGCTACTGGGCATGTGTGCGACAGAGAAACAGAAAACGAGAAATCACACATCCCCCTTCCCAGGGTGGATGGCCATGCCATAGTCCCTTCTCCTCCACTCTCCTCTCGGGATTTTGGGCAAGCATGCACACATGCCTAGCATGAATTTTAAGCCACCAGATTTGGGACCTGAACCACAGTCAGCCATGTGGGAGTAGAGCGATATAACCATTATGCCATCTTGCCATCTGCTGGTTCCTTAAATACAGGGTTCTTAATGCAAATGATGTATGGAAGGGAGCTTGTTTATATGGGACCCACATAAACTTATAAAAAAATCAAGAATTATTTGAATAGGTAAAGAATTGATATTTAGGGACCAGCAGTTAGCATAATGGCTATGTCGCTGGACTCCCATGTAATCGACCGCAGTTCAAGTCCCAGTCCCAGTGGCTTAAACTCATGCTGGGCGCGTGTGCGTGCGTGCCCAGGATCCCGAGAGGAGGATGGAGGAGAAGAGATTGCGGTGTGGCCATCCCCCCTGGGGGGTGATTTCTCGCTTTCTGTCTCTCTGTCTCTATCTTTCTGGCGAGTGCATGTGCCCTATTGCAAAAACCTCTCCAAAAAAATAAATAAATAAAATTAAAAAAAATTGATATTTAGAAACAAACCATATAAGCACTTTAGATATTTTTCCTCCCAAAGAATTATTATTTGGGAACAGCAGTTGGCATAATGGCTATTTCGCTGGACTCCCATGTAGTCGACCGTGGTTCAAATCCTAGACCCAGTGGCTTTAAACTCACGTGTGTGTGCATGCCCAAGATCCTGAGAGGAGAAGGGATTGTGGTGTGGCCGTCCCCCCCGGGGGTGGTTTCTCGCTTTCTGTCTCTCTGGTGAGTGTATGGGCCCCATAGCAAAAACCTCTCTTAAATAAATAAATAAATAAAGTTTTTTTGAGAGGTTTTTGCCATAGGGTGTGTGCGCTTGCCAGAAAGACAGAGGCAGACAGAGAAACAGAAAGTGAGATATTACCTCCCAGGGGGATGGCCACGCCGCAATCCCTTCTCATCCATTGTCCTCTCAGGATCTTGGGCACGCACGCACATGTGCCTGGTGTGAGTCTAAGCCACCAGGTCCAGGACTCAAACCGTGGTCGGCTACGTGAGAGTCTAGCGATATAGCCATTATGCTAACTGCTGGTCCCCAAAATACATTTTTTTGACATTTATTTTCATTTGAACAGAGAGGTGTACTGAATGAGAGCGAGCGAAAGAGAGAGCAAGCTGCCGGGTCCAGGACTCGAGTCATGGTTGGCTATGCAGGAGTCCAGTGCCCTTAACCACTAGGCCACCTGCCGGCCCCCTGGCACCTTAGATAGATTTTTATGAAGATTTTTCTAGTAGTCAATCTTCACATGATTTCAGTCATAAGCTTCCTTTTGTATAATTAAAAATACTATAAATAATATTTTACAAATATAATCTCGTATGTATTATAGGTTTGCATAATACATTTATGTCCAGTTTAATAACATTACAAAAGGCTACTTTGACTACATAGTTTTTGCTTATTTACCAAATATAAAACCTTAAAATGTATAAAAAAAAAATCACAAAATCCTTAATTCTATAATTTCATTGGTTAGTTAAGAAATCTTCATATGTGGAGGCATTTAAAGGTTTTTTTTTTTATGTGTACATTGCTATATATAAGATATAGATATATTTCTATTATATCAAACATACTGTATTCATATTTCTACCAGTTTTGATTATAACAATGAGTATGACTTTTTGATGATGTGATTTTTTTAGTTGTCTGGGAAATATTCTGGTGTTTTAAATTTTAAACTACATACAGGTCTAGAGCCTCCTACTCTTACAAACACATTTGAATACAAGTTTGGTGCAAAAGTAATTGTAGAGTTGTGTTGCCGAAATTTGCCATTTGATATTGGGCATATTTTTTAGTTGTTATACATCATTTTATGTATAACTTTTTGCTCTTTTTTACTCTTTTTGCTAATGACTTATTATTTGCTATTTATTTTATATGATTTTACACTATGGAAATGACATTAAACAAAAAACAAATTCAAGTGATTTTCTTATTTGGGTTCAAAACGAGCTATAAAGCAGAAGTGACAACCTACAACTTCAACAGTGCATTGGTACAGGAACTGCTCAGGCACACACAGTTCAGTGATGGTTCAAGAAATTTGCAAGGGAGATGATAGCCTTGAAGTCGAGAAGCGTAGTAGCCTGACATCAGCAGTTGGCAGTGACCAGTTGAGAGCAGTCATCAAAGCCGATCCTCTTACAACTACAGGAGAAGTTGCGAAGAACTCAGTGTCAACCATCCTGTGGTTGTCTGGTATTTGAAGCAAATTGCAAAGATAAAAAAGTTCAATAAGTGGGTGCCTCATGAGCTGACTGAAACTCCAAAGCACTTTCCAAAGCCAAACTAGCACAAAAAAAAAAAAAAAAAAGGGTCATGGTCACCATTTGGTGGAACTTGATCCACTACGGCTTTTTGAATCCTGCAGAAACCATTACATATGAGATGTATGCTCTCAGCAAATTGATAAGGTATCCCGAAAACTGCAATGCCCACAGCTGACATCGGTCAACAATAAGGGCCTAATTCTTCATGACAAAACCTGACTACACATTGCTCAGCCAATACTTCAAAAGTTGAATGAATTGGGCTACAAAGTTTTGCCTCCTCTGCTATCGTCACTTGACCTCTCTCTAATAAACTACCACTTCTTCAAGCATCTCGGCAACTTTTTGCAGTGAGAATGATTCCACAACCCGCAGGGTGCAGAAGATGCTTTCTAAGAGTTTGTCACATCCTGATGCATGGATTTTTATGCTACTGGAATAAACAAACATTTCTTGAAGGGGAAAATGTGTTGATTATAATGGTTCATATTTTGATTACTAAAGACATGTTTGAGCCTGCTTATAATTTAAAATTCAGTCTGAAACTGCAATTGCTTTTGCACCAACCTAATACATGCCGTAAAAAATTCACACATAACTGATTTATACTAATAACTTATGTTGACTCAGAAGACTTACAGTAACATGAATGATTAATACATATTTCATTTGTTATTATATACTATATTCTTACAAAAAGTAAACTAGAGAAAAGCAAATGTTAAGAAAATCACAAGGAAAACATAGTATTACTGGAGGTGGGGGATCCACACCGTTCAAACTCACGTTGGTCAAGAGTCAATTGTAAATCTAAAATTTCTCCAGATAATCAAATCTTAGCTAAAGTGCTTGAAAATATAGATCCTGTTCATATTTGGAGCCTGTATAAATGTAACAAACTACTTAGAATCACTGCTTTTATTTATTAATAGTATAAGAAATTTCAAAAATTAAGAAATTAAATGAGCATAATTTGTTACCTACTCTCTTGATTTTCCTTATACAGAGAGATATGAATTATATAATAAAGGAGAGCTGTGGTGAAAAAAAATTTAAAAAGCCCTAAATTATAAAACAGCAGATGCAAGTGTTTCAAAATAAGTTAACCTTGGGGCCAGAAGATGGCATGAGGGTTAAGGTGCTGGATTCCCACATGGTTACCTACGGTTTGAGTCCCTCATGCCAGGTGTGTGCCTGCCCAAAATCTGAGAGGAGAATGGAGTAGAAAGGATTGTGGTGTGGCCAGCCCTCCAGAAGTGATTTCTCTTTCTCTGTCTCTGCAATAAGTACATGTGTGCTACAGCAAAAAGTCTTTTCTTTTCTTTTTTTTTTTTTTTTAAAGATGACCAGTTTGTGGACATGGGAATCAATGCTCCAGAGACTCTCTAGTATGTGACTTAAGAAAATGAAAAGGGAAAAAGAACAAACTGTTTTTAACAAATCAGGGTCAATGTAGTTGAACAATGGTTTGATCAAATACATTTTCCTTCTTTTTTATATAAGATGCCTGCGCTCTCCAGAGAGACAGAAAGTGAGCAATCAACCCCCAGCAGGGATGGCCATGCTGCAATTCCTTTTCCTCCATTCTCCTCTTGAGATTTTGGGCATGCACACACACACATGTCTGGCATGAGTTTTAAGCTGCCAGGTCCAGATCTTGAACTGTGGGTGACTATGTGGGAGTCCAGCAAAATAACTATCATACCATCTGCTGGTCACTCATTTTCCTTCTAAAAAGCCAGTTAGCTTCTACATAGATGATACATTTTTACCAAATCCAATTACAAATTAAAATATTTTTAAAAGTTAGTATGAAGTTTTTCTGGAGACTTGTATACTTTCGTATTAGATTTGCAACTTTAAAAATTCGAGTCCACTGACCTAATAGAGTTCATCTAAATAAATCTGTTAAACTTTTATATAGTGTCTAGGAGATTCATGGGGTACAGGTAATTTAACAGAGTAATACAGTTTCCATTTCTTTAATTATACACTGTGCACTTGCATCAGAAAAGGAAAAGGTTGACAGTTCAGTGTAAGTCAGTGTTTGTGTTTTCTCTTATGATAAAGATCAGAT